AGCTCAGACAGGCGAGCCGGCAGCGCTCCCCGGGAAGGAGGGGAAGGGAGGGACAGGAAGGCAGATTTCCAGACGGGGGGCAAAGGGATTTGTGCCCCGCTGGGCGAGGGAAGGGGGCAGAACGCTTTGGCAGCTATTTAGGGAACGGGGGAAGAGACTGGGCTTTGGGATGTCGAGGGAGCCCAAACAGGATCAGAACGGAGTTTCTATCCCAAAACCCAGCAGCACCTTTGGGGTGGCTGCTCCTCTTACACTTCAGACCTTCAGACTTCTGTCTGAAATTGCTCAAGCCCCGGAGCAGAGACTGATGAGTGTTTTTTTTCTAGGGAGGAGGGAGAACAGATTTCTCTCCTGTTAAAATCCACTTATTCCATGAGGAGTCACACGGCACCAGGATCTTTGTGGTGACAGAAATTCCCTCACCTGGCAGGTGTGTCCGTACTGGGCAGTCAGGGCACATCTCCCAGCGCATACTSTGGCTTTTCTGGACCACCTGGAATGTCTTCAGCTGCTGCAGCCATGGCCAAGAGCACGGCAACCCAGGGCAGGCTGGAAATTCCTCCCTGTGAGGGTGGGGAGGCCCTGGCACAGRGTKCCCRGAGMAGCTGTGGSTGCCCCTGGATCCCTGGCAGTGCCCAAGGCCAGGYTGGAGCTCCATGGGATGGTGGAAGGTGTCTCTGCCCGTGAGAGGGCGTGGAACTGATTTTTTCAGCCCAAATCTTCCATATCCCTGATTTTTGTGCGCAGGGAAGTGCTGGGCAATGTGAACACGGGCAGGACAGTGAGGGAGGGACGAGCTGCGCTTCCCCGGTGTGGGAATGAGGACGAGGAAGGGCGATCGGGATAAATCCAGGGGGGAAAGGCAGTGGGATCTCTGCAGTAGGAGAAGGGCTGATCAGACCGCGAATGCCACACGTTGGGGAAGCAGAAAATCCCGCGGAATTGAAGCAGGGAAGGGCGGAGGGCAGAACAGGAGGCAGGAAAGGTCGCTCATCCCGGCCATAAGCAGGGCTGGGTGTTAACTCCCGGGATTATCCCGCCCCGGGGCTCCACAGCCTCCGTTCCCCATCCCGGGCATTCCTGGGAGCAGGAGGCGGCCGGGGGCTCYCACCTGGCCACCCCAGCGGGGCGAGGAGAGCCGGGCTGTCACCACCTCCCGCCCCTCTCGCAGCCCTCAGCCCGCCTTTCACCACCTCCCSTTCCATCTGCCCCTCTCCCCTCCCTCTCGGCAGCCTCCTCGCTGCCATCTCCACTTTCCCTGTGCTTTCATCCCCTGGTTTTCCTGCTGCCGTGTCTCTCCCGTGTCCATCGCCTCACCTGTGCCCCACCAGCACAGCTCAGCCCTTTCTCCCGTGGCTCAGGCCGAGCCTCCAAAAGCCTTTCAGTGGTCAGTGCTGCCCCAGCGCTCTCTGGACAGAGCCTCCCTCCCTCCCTGCTCCCTTCCCCCTCCTCCTCCCCTCCCTCCCATAATATTTTCCATATGAAGAAGCCTTCCTGAAGCCGCACACTGCCCTCTTGGCGAGTCTTAAGCGGGTTCGAGGAGACCCCGGGAGCCTTTAATCCTCTCTCTCTCTCTCTCTCTCTCGCTTTCATCCTCAGCCACAGCTGGACGCCCCATTGATGTGGAACAGACCAAACACCAGGCCCCTCGCTAAGCTGCTGCTGTGGGGCCTCTTCTCCTGCCGAGCCGAGCCCACAGCCCGTGTCCGGCTCTCGGGGCGGGGTCCGGCGGGTCCGGAGGGTCCGGCAGCCCCTCCACCCCCAGCCCTGCCCRCCTCCCCCAGCCCTGCTTGCCTCTCCCTGCTCCTCTCTTTCCCTGAGCCATCTTACTGCTTTACCCTGAGAGATTCCCCCCTGCTTATCCCTCATCCCCCTTAGGGAAAGGATTGTTTGGGATCGATTCCCAAACAATCGATCCCTGTCCCCCTTTTTTCAGGATTGTTTGGGATGGATTCCCAAAACAGAGCCGGGGTGAGGGTGAGATGAGGGTGAGGGTTTGCTGTGTGTTGATGTGCTGAGGATGCAGCTCGTGGTGCCAGGAAAGGCCTGGCAGGCTCCTCCAGCTCAACAGCCGAGGTTAAACCTTGATTTTCAGAGCAGCAGGCTCAGAGTTTGGGGAAGAAGCATCTCTTAAAGCCCACTGCAGGTTAGGTGAGAGTATCATGGAATTGTGGAATGGTTTGGGTTGGAAGGGACCTTAAAGATCATCCATTCCCACCCCTGCCATGGCAGGAACACCTCCCGCTGTCCCAGGTGGCTCCAAGCCAATGCCCAGCCTGGCCTGGGACATTCCCAAGGATCCAGGGACACGGTGTCCCACGGGAATATCCACCCGCCTCCTCTCCAAACACCGCAGCGCGGGTAAAACGGGCTGGGGAGGGCAAAGCGCCGTGTTCGGGGACTGCCGGCAGCGAGCAGGTGACAGGGACATTTGACAGGGACATTTGACAGGGACATTTGACAGGGACATTCCCCAGCGGAGCC